CTGTAATGAGGTCTTCAGCTACTAAAACTTGCATAAAATACACAACATGCAGCCAGCCACCAGCTGCTCTGGATCTTGATGAATAATTTAGAAACAAATTACCCTTTTCCAAATGGGTCCAATAAAGTAAGACTCATCGCAAGGCACCCACTGTGCTTCCCTTTGAGGCTGCAGGGACTCTAGCTGCCATAATTAAGGCCGCTAACTTCCCTAGTCCTAGCCTACGAAGGAAGCACTCCACTGAATTAAACCTGATCAAGGGAAATTAAGTGCCCCTTGCCCTTGCCTACAAAAGAAGAACTTTGCAGGCAAGTGAATCTCTAAAATCCATCTCCACGGGGCAGCATCAATCAGACCAGACCTCTTTGTTGCACTGTTACCTTGTTAAGATGTGTGGTTTAAACAGTCGATTTCATTCCATTTGGTGCTAATGGAACTTTTTTTTTAAATCTTCCCTTTCAAAGCTTGGACCATACTTTATCATATTTAAATAGCTTCAAAGGCAGCTGGATTGGCTCCTTGGAGAAATGGCTGATTCCAGGATAGAACAGGGGAAATGAAAGGGAGTTCAGAACATCGTATTGGGCCAAGTGCTCAAAAACTAATAGGGCCATGTCAAAAGGACACCAGAGCCAGCTGGAAAGGATTCCCACTAGACAAATCTGGAGCAATCTGAGCATCAAAATGAATAATGACAGGAGCAGTTTATAGTGTATTGAATAAAAATAAGTCCATACTAAAACTGTTTTTAAAAAAAGTAAAACAAAAGGAGAGAGAAGTCTCTTCTTTACAGAAGACTACCAACCAACAAATATAAAAATATGATGGAGCCAGAAAATGATTCTTTTACAATCACCATAGAAACAACAGATTCAGGCAATGACTTACTGATGAATGCAAAAACTATTAAGGGGAAGACCGCTGGGATATTCATATAGTGTTCATTGATTACATATTCATTATAATGGAGAAAGGGACCTTTACAATGGAGGAATCATTAACCAAATGATTAAACTTACTACTAATGATAGAGAAAATTGGCATCATGAGCCCACATGACATTACCCACAACTTGCCTAAAATATTTAGCCTCAAATCAAAGTATGTTGGAAAACCTCAGACAAATCCAAATTGAAGGGCATCTTGCAAAAATGGCCTGGACCCTTCAAAAGTATTTATATCAGGAAAGACAGAAAAGGTGAGGGAAGCATTCAAGAGTAAAGGAAGGAGACTACACACCTGATAGCCAAAGGCAATGCATGGTCTTTGACCGGACATTGGTTTGGAGAGAAATCACTATAAAGGATACTTGGTGAAACTTTAATATGGACTGTGTATTGGGCGCCTGGGTGGCTCAGTTGGTTAAGCGACTGCCTTCGGCTCAGGTCATGATCCTGGAGTCCCTGGATCGAGTCCCGCATCGGGCTCCCTGCTCAGCAAGGAACCTGCTTCTCCCTCTGACCCTCTCCCCTCTCATGTGCTCTCTCTCATTCTCTCTCTTTCAAATAAATAAATAAAAAATCTTTAAAAAAAAAAATATGGACTGTGTATTATATAACAGTCTTGTGTCAATGTTACATTTCCTGATTGCCAACTACATCAAGTGTGGTTAAATAGAATGCCTTTGTTCTTATGATATACATGCTGACATATTTAGGGGTAAATTGTCATAAACTCTGAAATGGCTCAGAAAAAAAAAAGGCTGAGAAAAAGGCAAACATGACAAAATATTAACATTTGTTGTATCTAGGTGAAGGTACATGGGTATTCATTGTACTAGTCTTGCAACTTTTCTAAAGGTTTTAGTTATTAAAAATAATAAACTGGAGGGGCACCTGGGTGGCTCAGTCTGTTAAGTGTCTGCCTTCAGCTCAGGTCATGAATCCCAGGGTCCTGGGATTGAGCCCACGTTGGGCTCCCTGCTCAGTGGGGAGTCTGCTTCTCCCTCTTCCTGCCCCTCCCCCTGCTTGTGTTCTCTCTCTATCTCTCTCAAATAAATAAAATATTTAAAAAACATTTAAAAATAAGCTAAAATAAATTAATCTTGACTTAAAATCAAAGAAACACAGATTTCTGTACCTTTCACCCTCAAAAGCATTGATATTCACCAGATCCACATCAAAGATCTGGCAGTCCTGGATCCCTTTTCCTCTTAGCAACAACCAGCTGGTACTGGTTTGGCTGCTCCATGTGGATGGAGCATGATGTCTGGTTCCCAATGGGCCACTCCATTCCATCTTCTACCATGTATTCACTCATGCTTTCATTTCTGTTGTCTGCCTGGTCTCTGGGGGCATCTAAGTCAGAGACAGGAGGCAAAGTCTAACAACAGGGGAGCAAGCTTTTGCTCACTGCACTGAAGATCAACCCCTGCAGTGCAAAGCACAGAATCGTTGGTACTGACCACAGGGTAGACTCTGAATGGCTTTTTACGGTTCATGGAGATATTATCATGGGTTGACTTGTGTCCCCCTAAAATTCATATGTTTAAGTACTAACCTCCAGTACTCCCAGAATATGACCTTACTTGGAAATAGAGTATTGCAGACATAATTTAACTAAGATGAATTTATACTGGATGGGATGGGTCCTCTAATCCAATATGATTGGAGTCCTTATTTAAAAAAAGGGAAATTTGGACACAGAGAAGCACACAGAGAGAGCACCATGTGAAAATGAAAACAGAGGTTGGGCTGATGTTTCTACAAGCCAAGAAACACCAAAGACTGCCAGCAAATACCAGAAGCTAAGAGAGAGGCCTAGAGATCATTCCCTTACAGTCTTCTGAAGGAACCAACCCTGCCATCACCTTAATCTCAGACATCTAGCTGGATGAGGATCCACTCATAGACCTGTTGTGCAGGTTAATTTGGTTAACATTGGAGAAGCACTTAAAACAGAGCCTTTACTTGGCAAATGCCGTGAAACACTGTTTCTTCTTCTTCTTCCTCTTCCCCTTCGTCCTCTTCTCCCTCTTCTTCCTCTTCTCCTCCTCTTTCTCCTCCTCCTCCTCCTCCTTCTTCCTCTTCTTCTTCTTTTTCTTCTTGTTCTTCATCAGTCTTGCTCTGGCTGTAGCTTTGTTCTGAACTTTGAATAAAGGTGTTTTTGTAGTGGGAAAATCTTTGCACCAAGAAGGAACCCCTTCCCTGGCTTCTGGGCCCTGTTCCACCTCAACCTGATGCATGACCTGGAATAGAGCACAGCACCTCTCTGGGCCTCCCTTTCTGCCCTCTTTTGCAAAATGAAGGAGCTAAAGTCAATCTCCAGCTCTGGGCCCCATGTTTTCTCATTGGCCTGGGTTGACTTGGAGCTCAAGCAGGCTCTGCAGCCCTGTAGGCTATGTAGTTGGAGGTTTTGGTATGCTGAGGACCCTACAGTAGGTTCTCTTGGGGATCTAAACTTTAAATACTTTTTATTTCAAATCAATTAATTAACATACAGTGTATTATTAGATTCAGAGGTAGAGTCCAGTGATTCATCAGTTGCATACAACACCCAGTGCTCATCACATCACATGCCCTCCTTAATGCCCATCACCCAGTTACCCCATCCCCCCACCCACCTCTCCTCCAGCAACCCTCAGTCTGTTTCCCATAGTTAAGAGTCTCTTATGATTTGTCTCCCTCTCCGATTTCACCTTATTTATGTCACTTAGTTGAGTTTTAAAAAATATAAGACTTGGCTGTGAATTTTGCAAGATTGTTGAATCACAGATCTGTACCTCTGAAACAAATAATGCAATATATGTTAAGAAAAAAAAAAAGAAGGGCGCCTGGGTGGCTCAGTTGGTTAGGCGACTGCCTTCGGCTCAGGTCATGATCCTGGAGTCCCTGGATCAAGGCCCGCATCGGGCTCCCTGCTCGGCAGGGAGCCTGCTTCTCCCTCTGACCCTTCCCCCTCTCATGTGCTCTCTCTCATTCTCTCTCTCTCAAATAAATAAATAAAATCTTAAAAAAAAAATAAAAAATAAATAAATAAAAAAAAGAAGAAGAAGAAGATAGCAAGAGGGGACAAATGAAGAGGGGGAAATCGGAGGAGGAGACGAACCATGAGAGACTACGGACTCTGAAAAACAAACTGAGGGTTCTAGAGGGGAGGGGGTGGGAGGATGATTAGCCTGGTGATGGGTATTAAAGAGGGCACGTTCTGCATGGAGCACTGGGTGTTATGCACAAACAATGAATCATGGAACACTACATCAAAAACTAATGATGTGATGTATGGTGATTAACATAACAATAAAAAATTTTTAAAAAAAAGAAAAAAATATAAGACTTGGTACTTTCAAATACACTGTGGATTTGCCAGGTTAAAAAAAAAAATGAAACCTCTTTAAAAAAAATTAAAAAAAAAAAAAAGCGGGGGGTGGCTGGGTGGCTCAGTCATTAAACGTCTGCCTTCGGCTCGGGTCGTGATCCCAGGGTCCTGGAATCGAGCCCTGCATCGGGGTCCCTGCTCAGTGGGAAGCCTACTTCTCCCTCTCCCACTCCCCCTGCTTGTGTTCCCTCTCTCGCTGTCTCTCTATCTGTCAGATAAATAAATAAAATCTTTAAAAAAAATTTAAAAAAAAATGAAACTATAATTCTACTAAGATTGGAAGGAATCCAAGAGCACCTGTAGACCCTCCTCAAATATTACAAGAACTTGTCTCATACTGGCCCAGGGGATGGGATTAAACTGAAACAACAGATAAAAGCTACAGAGAAACATTACCTTCAAATATTTATCACTGACTTGATGCTGTTTTGTGATAAATAATTGTCAAGGTTCTTAATGGTTTCCATAAGTAAGTAGAAAAGAATGACACATTGAAGATGAAATTTAAAAGCAAGTGGAATCACAGAGTCATGAAGCTGATGCTGATTGTTTCCATTACCATCCCTACCCAAAGTCAAGGTCACTATACTATTTTCGTAGGCATTGTTGATTAAGAACACCATATATAAAATATAAGCACGCAACAATAATTTTTTTATAGAGAGCAAAATGTCTTCACTTACCCCAAGAAGGCTGAACCACAGTAAGATTCACAGTTACAGACTTGTGGGCATTCAGGCCCTTCATGTTAGCCAGGCAAGTCAGAGTCCCATTGCCCTGTGGTGTGAGAGTCAAGATGCTCACTGCGCTTTGGAGGTCGTCAGGCTCTGGACCAGAATAATTGCTTGAGTGGCTCACCGGAACACCGATCTCCCAGGAAATATCCGGGAGAGGGATCCAGCCCAATGCATGGCAAGTCACATTACAGGGTTTATCCTCAGGGACTATAAGGTTGCCTCTGGGAATGAGCAACTCCCCTATAACTAGAGAAGAAAAGAGAAATGTTCTGAAGGAGTGGCCATGACTCTCTTGGTTCCAGGTTTTCTTTAATTTTTCCTTCAAATCACATTTCATGAGTGCTATCTTCCCAAGTCCAAACTGGCTATGTCTGTATCAAGAACCTTAACTCAGGTTTTATCTGTGTCTTTATTTATACCTTCCAGGTTCGTGAAAGAAGGTGAGGTTGCTCACCAGAAAACAAATTATTCCAGAGAAAATGAATAAATAAAAATCAGGATCCAGGGGAGCATAAATTATATGGGAAAGAGGGCAAATGTGCCTTCCATTAAAGGCTACACAACCACTAAAGTGGGGTCACAAAGTTGTCCTGGGAGCCAAAGCGAGAAGGGAAAAACCTTTACATTCTTTCCACTGTAAGGAGAATACATCTCAAAGTCTTACGGAAACCAGGTCTCTCCTAGCCTTTGGTCAGTCAGATTCATTTTATTTATTTTGGGGGTCACACATTTTTAAACATAACTTCCCATGATAGTTCTTTAAAGTATTCTTCCAATTACAAATTAAATCAAAATCAAATCTAATTATAAAAATAATTACCCTAAATCACGTATCAGAATAGAATACTCAAAGTATTTTAAAGTTTTTATTAAGGACCCACCTGCATATGCCAATGTGAACACTGTAAACAACCCACCTGAAAATAGTGCTGTGTGTGCTAATATTAACAAAATAACCTGAGGATTGGCTCTGGTAAAGACATAGCCTTAGTGAAACTCATAAACACTGGAACATCCAAATTAAAATAGCCTCCCTGCTACATAACATAATGGGAAGAACACTGGACTAAGAATCAAAAACTCTGTTCTCAATCCTGGATTTCCCACAAAATTGCCATCACCTGGAACAAGTCACTGACATTTTCAGGCTCTCTGTTTTTCACTGGTCAAATGAAACAATTTGACTAGATCAGGGGTTTTCAAATGTTTAGGTTTCAGTACCTTTTACAATGTTAAAAATCATGAAGACTCCAAAGACCTTTTGTTTATGTGGATCATACCTACCCATATTTACCATACTTGAAATTAGAAATTTTTAAGTGTTTATTTTATAATAATAGTGATAACCCACTATAGGCTAACATAGATTAACATATACTTATGAAAAAAATACCTATATTTTTAAACCAAAATAAATTATTAAGAACATTGTTTTATATTTATGCAAATCTCTCTTTTTTTATTATGTTATGTTAGTCACCATATAATACATCATTAGTTTTTGATGTGGTGATCCATGATTCATTGTTTTCATATAACACCCAGTGCTATGCAAATCTCTTTAATGTCTGGTTGGATTCTCATATCAGCTTCTGCATTCAATCTGTTAAAATATATTGCTTTAGTTGGAGTATATTAAAAAAAATCTGACCCCCCATGGATATATAGGTGGAACAATGAGAAGGCTTTTCAGATAATCAAGGATAGTCTTTGATACTGTACCAAATCTTGGCAAGTAGTGGTTTCTTACAGGTTAGTTGCACTGTGGAAACTGTAACTATATAAAGGAATTTTCATTCCCTTTTACATTAAAATCCACTGCTCTATCTGGCACTTTGATTGATCTTTCACTCTTGCATGACACTGTATCATTATTCACTGGTCATTTAGGAAATGTGGATCCTCTGGGCTATGCAGACCTTCCCAATGCACAGTGGAAGCCTTTCTGTGCACCACTGAAATGAGAGTAGGAAAGGCAACTCACATCTTAGTGTTATTATGGGAACAGTCATGACTTCACAGACCCTGAAAGGATCTAGGGGATGCCCAAGAATTCCCAAACTAGATGGAACTGGATCAGCTCTGAAAGCTCTTCCTATTCTGAAATGTTACATTTCCGATTATTCCTTTCCTCAATGGTCTCTGGGAATCAGTAGAGCACCTTTGCTAATGCAAGGATTACTGTAAATGCAACAATGAGAGGAGAATGCATCTGTCTCTCAAAGCTAAACGGTTTTGTCCTTATTCCTTTTTCTCCATTCATTGTTTCATTTGATGGAGAGGTTTAAGATGACAGAAGCTGGAAGCAATGGTATTGCCTCAATTAATAACGGACTATCTTGAACTCAAATCTAGTGGCCCTCAAAACACAAGAGGTCTAGAATTTGGTGTGTGGTTGATAGACTGGACAAGGGAAGCAGTCTGAAGCATTTCCTTTTTCTATATATATTTGTGATTCAACTTTTCCCATTGGCTTACACAAAGCTTATCGAGGAGCACGACAAACACTTTATACAAGGGTGATGACTAGAATATTCACATAGATTTTGGATGACTCAGTATGGAGTTATGTAAGCTGTCTTTATTTTTCTTGCTGATACACGAGGAGGAAAAAAATAAATCTTTGGATAATTCATTTTAAAAATAAAATGGATGTCTCCTCTGTTTTTTAAGATTCTTTTCCCTTGAAAGAGATCCTGCTGCTTAGAGAACATTTGCTCCTCTAGGAACAAAGTGCCATTCAGAACACTGCAACCTGGGTAATACGACCAAGTTCGGTCCCCGGTCTATGGGTTCCTTCTTCATGACCTTGGGAAAGAATTTAACATCCCTAGATGCTTGTTCTTCCATCTGTATTAGAGCCAAAACCTACAGTAATTACCAACATATAAAAATGCATGTTTAGGCATATTCAGACAACTTTATAAATGCATAGCTTTGAGAAAAGCTGCTATAAAACCACATGGATTTATGAATTTGATATGCTATATCAAATAAGTCATGCCTTTGATCCTGTTTCCTTGATCCAGGGGTGCCCTTCTCCTCTCTCGCTTTTCCATTTTGCCTATCATCCCCAGACCTCCGAAGCCCATAAGGGCACCTCACCATGGAGTCCTCCATGAAGGCTTTCCTTATTCTCTCATCCCCCTACCCAGTTCAAACCTGAGCTTGTCTCCCCCTCAGGGTCCTTGCCAGCCTCTCCGGTGCACCAATGTTATTCATACATTTGCCCTATCTACTCTTCGGGTAAGGTTCTTGAGGGCAGGACTCTGCCTTACTCTATTCATCTTTGAGTCCCCTTTCAGATGCCTAACACAAGGGTGTGCTCTTCTTGGGAATGCAATAAATAATAGCAATTGGCTATATGGAGATTGCTAGGACCCAGGTGCTGTTTTAAAGCCTTTCCATGAACCTACTCATGTGATCCCACAACAACCCTATGATGAGGAAACTAGGGCATGAGGTCATCAAATAACATGGTCAAGGTCACACAGTTAGGAAGTGATAAAGCTGGAATCTGAACTTAGCATTTGGGCTCCCTAGCCTGCATCACGAACGACTAGACCACTCTGGCTCCCGACTGTGTGCGTGATGAACTGAATCAGACAGGACTTTGGAGTCTTCAAACCATCCTCAGTCATTGTTTCATTGGATCCTCACAGTAAACTTGTGAGGTGGGCAGGGGAGCCTTATCCCCATTTTAAAAATGAAGAAGCTGAGTCACCTCAGGGGTCACCAAGCTAGTAACCGATGAAAGCCAAACCAGAACTCATGTCTTTGATTCTGTTTTTCCTGTGTTCTTTCCCTTATACCTCAAATTGTTAATAAGAGTCTAGTCATGCAAACTAAGCCAATAATCCAGGTAGTCTCATAAAATCACTATTTAGAAAATATCCTTAAACCTCATAAAATTAAAGAAACATAAAAAAAAAGAGAAAACAGTTTGGCTAAGTAAAAAAAAAAAAAAAATTAAAAAGGGCAAGTAGAAATAGGTAGGCATGCATCTCTACCAAATGTTATCAAACTGGATTCGATGCAACATTAACACAAATCCAATGTTTGAAAATTTCTCCTAGACAAGCAAATAAATAGACATAAGAAAAATTTCAGGGCGCCTGGGTGGCTCAGTTGGTTAAGCGACTGCCTTCGGCTCAGGTCATGATCCTGGAGTCCCGGGATCGAGTCCCGCATCGGG